GACGGTTTTCCCTGTCATGTTTCATTGTTCTGGACGGGTTTCCCTGTCATATTTCATTGTTCTGGACGGGATCCCTGTCATATTTCATTGTTCTGGACGGGTTTCCCTGTCATATTTCATTGTTCTGGACGGGATCCCTGTCATATTTCATTGTTCTGAACGGGTTTCCATATCGTATTTCATTGTTATGGACTGGTTTCCCTATCATATATAATGGTTCTGGACGGGTTTTCTTCTCATATTTCATTGTTCTGGACGGGTTTCCCTGTAATATTTCATTGTTCTGGACCGGTTTCCCTGTTATATTTCGTTGTTCTGGACGCGTTTCCCTTTTATATCTCATTGTTCTGGACGGATTTACCTCTCATGTTTCATTGTTCTGGACGGGTTTTCCTGTCGTATTTCATCGTTCTGGACGGGTTTCCGTTTCATATATCATTGCTCTGGACGGGTTTCCCTCTCATATTTCATTGTTCTGGACGGGTTTCCCTGTCATATATCATGGTTCTGGACGGGTTTCCTTCTCATATTTCATTGTTCTGGACGGGTTTCCCTGTCTTATTTCAATGTTCTGGAACGTTTCCCTGTCATATTTCTTTGTTCTGGACGGTTTCCCTTTCATATCGCATGGTTCTGGACCGGTTTCCCTGTCATATTTCATTGTCATGGACGGGTTTCCCTGTCATGTTTCATTGTTCTTGACGAGTTTCGTTCTCATATTTCATTGTTCTGGACGGGTTTCTCTGTTATATTTCATTCTTCTGGACGGGTTTCCCTGTCATATTTCATTGTTCTTGACTGGTTTCCCTGTCACATTTCATTGTTCTGGACGGGTTTCCCTGTCATATTTCATTGTTCTGGACGGGTTTCCCTGTCTTATTTCAATGTTCTGGACCGGTGAAAGTGGGGAAGGGAGAACATCTGACTGAACACGGATGGACTCCCGGACACATGGACCTGGGAAAGGCGAGAGCACCTTGGGGAAATGGGGAAGGGAAGGGGGGGGATAATATCTGAACGGACTGGTGGGAAGAAGGAGATACTGGTTGCTAAGGCAGACCCTGGGAAAGGGGGAAGGGGAACATCTGACTGGAAAACGGATAGACCCCGGACACATGGACCTGGGAAAGGCGAGAGCACCTTGGGGAAGTGGGGAAGGGAAGGGGGGGGGGGAATATCTGAGGCGGACTCCTGGGAAAGAAGGAGATACTGGTTGCTAAGGCAGACCCTGGGAAAGTGGGGAAGGGAGAACATCTGAGGGGACACGGATGGACTCCCGGACACATGGACCTGGGAAAGGCGAGAGCACCTTGGGGAAGGGAAGGGGGGGGGGAATATCTGAGGCGGACTCCTGGGAAAGAAGGAGATACTGGTTGCTAAGGCAGACCCTGGGAAAGTGGGGAAGGGAGAACATCTGAATGGACACGGATGGACTCCTGGACACATGGAACTGGGAAAGGCGAGAGCACCTTGGGGAAGTGGGGAAGGGAAGGGGGGGATTATCTGAGGCGGACTCCTGGGAAAGAACATCCACAACATTCACAGTGTTTCTAGCGTAACACTGTGAATGTTGTGGATGTTTCTAGCGTAACACTGTGGATGTTGTGGGTGTTCCTAACGTAACACTGTGAATGTTGTGGATACTTCCAGCGGAACACTGTGAATGTTGTGGATGTTTCTAGCGTAACACTGTGAATGTTGTGGATGTTTCTAGCCTAATACTCTGGAGGTTGTGGATGTTTCTAGCGTAACACTGTGGATGTTGTGGGTGTTTTTAACGTAACACTGTGAATGTTGTGGATACTTCCAGCGGAACACTGTGAATGTTGTGGATGTTTCTAGTGTAACACTGTGAATATTATGGATGTTTCTAACGTAACGCTGTGAGTGCTGTGGATGTTTCTAGCGTAACACTGTGGATGTTGTGGATGTTTCTAGCGTAACACTGTGAATGTTGTGGATGTTCCTAGCGTAACACTGTGGATGTTGTGGATGTTTCTAGTGTAACACTGTGAATGTTGTGGATGTTTCTAGCGTAACACTGTGAATGTTGTGGATGTTTCTAGCGTAACACTGTGAATGTTGTGGATGTTTCTAGCGTAACACTGTGAATATTGTAGATGTTTCTAGCGTAATACTGTGGAGGTTGTGGATGTTTCTAGCGTAACACTGTGAATGTTGTGGACGTTTCTAGCGTAATACTGTGAATGTTGTGCATGTTTCTAGCGTAATACTGTGGAGGTTGTGGATGTTTATAGCGTAATACTGTGGATGTTGTGGATGTTTCTAGCGTAACACTGTGGATGTTGTGGATGTTTATAGCGTAATACTGTGAATGTTGTGGATGTTTCTAGCGTAATACTGTGGAGGTTGTGGATGTTTCTAGCGTAACACTGTGAATGTTGTGGATGTTCCTAGCGTAATACTCTGGAGGTTGTGGATGTTTCTAGCGTAACACTGTGGATGTTGTGGATGTTTCTAGCGTAATACTGTGGATGTTGTGGATGTTTCTAGCGTAATACTGTGGAGGTTGTGGATGTTTCTAGCGTAACACTGTGAATGATGTGGATACTTCCAGCGGAACACTGTGAATGTTGTGGATGTTTCTAGTGTAACACTGTGAATGTTGCGGATGTTTCTAGCGGAACACTGTGAATGTTGTGGATGTTTCTAGCAGAACACTGTGAATGTTGTGGATGTTCCTAGCGTAACACTGTGGATGTTTTGGATGTTTGTAGTGGAACACTACCACCTGCAATATTATATTACTACTACTACTACCACCTACAATATTATTTACTACTACTACTACCACCTGCAATATTATATTACTACTACTACTACCACCTGCAATATTATATTACTACTACTACTACCACCTACAATATTATATTACTACTACTACTACCCACCTGCAATATTATATTACTACTACTACTACCACCTGCAATATTATATTACTACTACTACTACCACCTACAATATTATATTACTACTACTACTACCACCTGCAATATTATATTACTACTACTACTACCACCTACAATATTATATTACTACTACTACCACCACCTGCAATATTATATTACTACTACTACTACTACCTACAATATTATATTACTACTACTACTACCACCTACAATATTATATTACTACTACTACTACCACCTGCAATCACACCTCACTCTAAGCCTATATATACCATCTGTGTCCATGTACTGTTTGTAACGGCTTGACAAAGCTCCTGGAGAGCGAAACAATAAAATGTCACAATAAAATGTCACAATAAAATGTCACAGTAAAATTGCCACAATAAAATGTCACATTAGTTTCATTTGTGTCCTTTTACTTTACATATTGTCGGTAATTCTATCAAAATATATACTAACTGACTGAGAGTTAGAAACAGATGTGCTCAGTCTTCAACACTTGTCACAGTAAAGTAACACAAGATCAGCACAGTAACACACATCAGTACAGTAACACAAAAGATCAGTAAAGTAACACAAAAGATCAGTACAGTACAGTACCACAGAAGATCAGTACAGTAGTAACACAGAAGATCAGTACAGTAACACAAAAGACCAGTACAGTAACATAGAAGATCAGTACAGTAACACAGAAGATCAGTACAGTACAGTAACACAGAAGATCAGTACACTAGTAACACAGAAGATCAGTACAGTAACACAGAAGATCAGTACAGTACAGTAGCACAGAAGATCAGTACACTAGTAACACAGAAGATCAGTACAGTAACACAGAAGATCAGTACAGTACAGTAACACAGAAGAGTACAATAACAGAAGAGTAAGCAAAGAAACACAGAAGAGTACAGTACAGTAACACAGAAGAGTACAACTCAGTAACACCACCGTGGCTACTGTCAGGGAGGCTGGAGTGGGAATAACACCACCGTGGCTACTGTCAGGGAGGCTGGAGTGGGAATAACATCACCGTGGCTACTGTCAGGGAGGCTGGAGTGGGAATAACATCACCGTGGCTACTGTCAGGGAGGCTGGAGTGGGAATAACACCACCGTGGCTACTGTCAGGGAGGCTGGAGTGGGAATAACATCACCGTGGCTACTGTCAGGGAGACTGGAGTGGGAATAACACCACCGTGGCTACTGTCAGGGAGGGAGGAGTGGGAATAACATCACCGTGGCTACTGTCAGGGAAATTGGAGTGGGAATAACACCACCATGGCTACTGTCTCGGAGGTTGGAGTGGGAGTAACATCACCGTGGCTACTGTCAAGGAGGCTGGAGTGGGAGTAACATCACCGTGGCTACTGTCAGGGAGGCTGGAGTGGGAGTAACATCACCGTGGCTACTGTCAAGGAGGCTGGAGTGGGAGTAACATCACCGTGGCTACTGTCAGGGAGGCTGGAGTGGGAGTAACATCACCGTGGCTACTGTCAAGGAGGCTGGAGTGGGAGTAACATCACCGTGGCTACTGTCAGGGAGGCTGGAGTGGGAGTAACATCACCGTGGCTACTGTCAAGGAGGCTGGAGTGGGAGTAACATCACCGTGGCTACTGTCAGGGAGGCTGGAGTGGGAATAACATCACCGTGGCTACTGTCAAGGAGGCTGGAGTGGGAATAACGCCACCGTGGCTACTGTCAGAGAGGCTGGAGTGGGAATAACATCACCGTGGCTACTGTCAGGGAGGCTGGAGTGGGAATAACGCCACCGTGGCTACTGTCAGGGACGCTGGAGTGGAAATAACATCACCGTGGCTACTGTCAGGGAGGCTGGAGTGGGAATAACATCACCGTGGCTACTGTCAGGGAGGCTGGAGTGGGAATAACATCACCGTGGCTACTGTCAGGGAGGCTGGAGTGGGAATAACATCACCGTGGCTACTGTCAGGGACGCTGGAGTGGAAATAACATCACCGTGCCTACTGTCAGGGAGGCTGGAGTGGGAATAACATCACCGTGGCTACTGTCAGGGAGGCTGGAGTGGGAATAACATCACCGTGGCTACTGTCAGGGAGGCTGGAGTGGGAATAACATCACCGTGGCTACTGTCAGGGAGGCTGGAGTGGGAATAACATCACCGTGGCTACTGTCAAGGAGGCTGGAGTGGGAATAACGCCACCGTGGCTACTGTCAGGGAGGCTGGAGTGGGAATAACATCACCGTGGCTACTGTCAAGGACGCTGGAGTGGGAATAACGCCACCGTGGCTACTGTCAGGGAGGCTGGAGTGGGAATAAAGCCACAATAGCTACTGTTGAGGTCGACGCTTTTGAATCCAAATCATGAATCCAAATCTTGAATTATGAATAGTAATAATAATAATAACAATAAAATTATTTGCGACCACTGTCAGCCTCAGAGTTATCTCTGAGTTACCAGACCTTGCCACGTGGAGGCCAGTGGTTCGTCTTTAAGGTCCCCCCCCCCTCGCCTTCCCCAGGTTCATGTGTCCAGGAATCCATCCGTGGGCCCCCGGATGTCTCCCCTTTCTCACTTCCCTAAGGTCAGCCTCGCCTCTCTCTCTCTCTCTCTCTCTCTCTGCCTTCCAGCCTCAGCCTTCCCCAGGTTCATGTGTCCAGGAATCCATCCGTTCGCTCCCGGATGTCTCCCCTTCCCCACTTACCCAAGGTCAGCCTCAACCACAACCTTCCCCAGGTTCATGTATCCAGGAATCCATCCGCTCGCTCCGGATGTCTCCCCTTCCCCACTTACCAAGGTCAGCCTCAACTGCATGTATTCATGCCTTCCCCAGGTTCATGTATCCAGGAATCCATCCGCTCGCTCCGGATGTCTCCCCTTCCCCACTTACACAAGGTCAGCCTCAACCACAACCTTCCCCAAGTTTATGAATCCAGGAATCCATCCGCTCGCTCCCGGATGTCTTCCCTTCCCCACTTACCTAAGGTCGGCGGTGCCTTCCCCGGATCAGTGTCTCCAGGAGTCTACTTGTGTCACCTGAGTGGACTCCCTTCCCCACTTCCTCAGAGTCAGCGGTATTCTTGCTTTCCTTAGGATCATGTATCCAGGAATCCATCCGTCTACCGCCGGATGTCTCCCCTTCCCCACTTACCCAAGGTCAGCCTCAACTGCATGTATTCATGCCTTCCCCAGGTTCATGTATCCAGGAATCCATCCGCTCGCTCCGGATGTCTCCCCTTCCCCACTTACACAAGGTCAGCCTCAACTGCATGTATTCATGCCTTCCCCAGGTTCATGTATCCAGGAATCCATCCGCTCGCTCCGGATGTCTCCTCTTCCCCACTTACACAAGGTCAGCCTCAACCACAACCTTCCCCAAGTTTATGAATCCAGGAATCCATCCGCTCGCTCCCGGATGTCTTCCCTTCCCCACTTACCTAAGGTCGGCGGTGCCTTCCCCGGATCAGTGTCTCCAGGAGTCCACTTGTGTCACCTGAGTGGACTCCCTTCCCCACTTCCTCTGAGTCAGCGGTATTCTTGCTTTCCTTAGGATCATGTATCCAGGAATCCATCCGTCTACCGCCGGATGTCTCCCCTTCCCCACTTTCCCAAGGTCAGCCTCAACTGCATGTATTCTTGCCTTCCCCAGGTTCATGTATCCAGGAATCCATCCGCTCGCTCCGGATGTCTCCCCTTCACCACTTACACAAGGTCAGCCTCAACTGCATGTATTCATGACTTCCCCAGGATCATGTATCCAGGAATCCTTCCGTCTACCGCCGGATATCTTCCCTTCCCCACTTACCCAAGGTCAGCCTCAACTGCATGTATTCATGCCTTCCCCAGGATCATGTATCCAGGAATCCTTCCGTCTACCGCCGGATATCTTCCCTTAACCACTTACCCAAGGTCAGCCTCAACTGCATGTATTCATGCCTTCCCCAGGTTCATGTATCCAGGAATCCATCCGCTCGCTGCCGGATGTCTCCCCTTCCCCACTTACACAAGGTCAGCCTCAACCACAACCTTCCCCAAGTTTATGAATCCAGGAATCCATCCGCTCGCTCCGGATGTCTTCCGTTTCCCACTTACCTAAGGTCGGCGGTGCCTTCCCCGGATCAGTGTGTCCAGGAGTCTACTTGTGTCACCTGAGTGGACTCCCTTTCCCACTTCCCCAGAATCAGCGGTGCCTTCCCCGGATCAGTGTCTCCAGGAGTCCACTTATGTCACCTCAGGTGGACTCCCTTCCCCACTTCCCCAGAGTCAGCGGTGCCTTCCCCGGATCAGTGTGTCCAGGAGTCTACTTGTGTCACCTGAGTGGACTCCCTTCCCCACTTCCCCAGAGTCAGCGGTGCCTTCCCCGGATCAGTGTCTCCAGGAGTCCACTTATGTCACCTCAGGTGGACTCCCTTCCCCACTTCCCCAGAGTCAGCGGTTGCCACCTTCAGTGACCTCGCTGCATGGAAACTTGGTCTTGTCTAGCTGGTCTACGGTAGAGACTGTCCAGGTGGGTGGAATTACTGGAGGTGACACACACAGAAAACTGCGTCCAGTAATTACATCCACCAAGACAGCCGCGACCGTAGGTCAGCTAGACGCCACCAAGCTGCCTCACAGTTCCGCCACCTCGGAGAGGCTAATTAACGTAAATTTTGGAAATCCTTTTATATTACAGTATGAATTTAGTCTAAGTACGAGATTTTCTTGCTTATTTATCAGTTTAAAAGTATTTGTAAGTGTTTTATTTTATGTAGATGAATGTCCAAGTGTTGAAGAACTTTTCCACCTCCATCAAAACTGTATTAAATATTACACTGTTTTCATTTTTATTTATTTATTGGTCATTTTCATATGACATTGAAAGACTAACAAGCGCACAAACATACACATATATATGTATTTTTACATTCATTTATACGTTAGTTTACGGTATTTTGACGACATTCTTCGTCACACGGCTGTTATAGCCATATATAAAAGTACATAATATTAATTTAAATGATTGGAACCGAAAAAGTAAATTATCTCACAAACTAATTTTATTAATAAATTCGGAACCTTCTACTAACCTTAACCTCAGTTCTACTAACCTTAACCTCAGTTCTACTAACCTACCTCAACAGATTGCTTCCTCTGAGGAAAACACATCAGGACTAAAAGTTTAAAGATCGCCACTGAAGATTGATGATGCCTTTCCTAATTTCTACATGTAAGTTAAGAACAATGCTTAACGCGCCTCTGGAATAGTAGGCATTTAAATTCCAATCAAGAAAAAGTAAGACGAGTCCAGTTTGGGTTAAGAACCCCTAACCAGTGTCAAGGGTTAGGTTACGTAAGGTTCGTCAGGAAACTGGACAAGTGTTTCCTGACGCGGGTCTTCGATGATGACCCGCTTTTGGAGCTTTTGGTCATCTGACGAGGCCTTCCGCTGGCTTACCGTTCCCCCCCTTTTATTTTTATGGTTGTCTGGAAATAATGAAATTTATGTAAAGTAATTCTAAATCATTTTTGAGAAAATATTGTGGTAACACTATCATTCATTAAATATACCACTGTTTAGTAGGTAACGTAAATTTCAATGTCGATAGAGGAGCTTTAACATTGTCAAAGAAAGAAATTTGGAATGGATTTTTTTATTCATTTTGGGCAGCAAATAGTGCCAAGAAAATCTTGCCGGATACAAACATCACACTGAAATTTTGGGAAGCCAACGTAGGGTGTCTCAGCAATAAAGGAAAATTTGAAAATAAATTTAAATGTTTTGAGAATGTTCGATCTTAGTCTCCTTCGTTAATTTAAAAAAACACGTTGGCACAGCTAACCAAAAAGTTAACTTCGCTAACCGCTAATCCTCTAACTAAAAAAATTAGCTCAGCTAACGCTAAAACCGCTAATTTTTTTCACTGTATGTGCATGACAGTACTTTGTTAGTGTCAAGTAAAGACTCACGAAATGCAGCTAAAATAATAACACTGGAAATTGAATCCCGAAGCAAATGGTGGGGTGCAGATGTTAAGTGAATTGTGTTAGGAATGTTGAGTCGTGGAAAATTATTGCTTGGGGTTTATATGATAATTAGTGTGGGGGGACACTGTTGTGGAAGGTACAGTGGGAAAGTTGAAGTGCTTGATGTAAATAATTTAAAGTGGAAACTTTACCTCACCTCAGCAACACAGCAAGATGTCAGTATACAAGAACAGTAAAGTAATGCGAAAAACGGTACGGCAACACGCAAGCAATGCAAAATGGAACTCTGTGAACCCCTTAACTAAATTTTTTAATTTATCTCTTCAACAGGTGTAGTGTCTGATATGTGGAAATGGCTAATGTAATTCCTATTTTAAAACAGGGACAAGTCGTTACCGTCAAATTACCGCCCAATAAGCCTGGCCTCAATTGTAGGCAAATTACTAGTCCCTTAAAAGCTGAGATTATAAGAAGCCATCTCGACAAGCATAGCTTGATTAATGATACTCAGCAGGATTCACAAGAGGCGGTCTTGTCTAACTAATTTATTAACTTTCTTCAGTAAAGCTTTGAGGCTGTTGACACGATAAAGAATTTGATATTATTTACTTAGATTTTAGTAAGGCTTTTGATAGAGTTCCGCACCCTAGACTGTTAAAGAAAGTGGCAGCTCATGCATTGGAGGAAAAGTGCTCTCGTGGATCGAGTCATGGCTCATTGACAGGAAGCAGTGGTGTCCATAAATGGGGTTAAATCCGGGGG